TGGAGGTACTGGGTGTTTAGAACTACCTGTTTTTGAGGATAAACCATTCAGTCTACTTTCTAGTATTTCTGCTTTTGCCAAAACCTCATCATAAGTCTTCAATTCTATAACTGCAAGAGCATCCTGGATCTCAATGCGTAGCCCCCACTAAAATTTTCTCGCCCTTTTTCCTTCTTCAGTCAAAATGGCTGAAGCAAAATTGGTCAACTCAATGAATCTTCGAGCATATTCAACCACTGACAGGTTTCCCTGAGTGAGCTTCATGAACTCAAACTCTTTCTAATGTCGGAGTCATGCTGGAAAGTACTTGGCGTTGAACACTTCCAGAAATCTCCCCCAGGTGATGGGAACAGGTAAGGTGGTTTGTCTAAATTCCCATCAGCAGTCAGCTTTACCCGCAAGTAGGTACATAGGCAGAATCACTTTCTGTTTGAAAGTCACCCCTAAAACTCAGAATGCCTTTTTAATTTCTTTTAACCATCCCTTCAACTTCAATAAAATTCTTGATACCAGTAAATATAGGAGGATGGAGTCTCATGAACTTTATGTGACAGTCTAGATCCATAACGACTGGTTCTGGATTGTATGGAGCTGGTACTAGAGGAGGATCAGGTATCCCTTCTCTAGGTTAGTTAACAAGCTCCTCTATCTTGTGGTATAACTGGTCAATATGCTCCTGTAAGGACATGTAATCAGGAGGTTGCTTCGGTGGAGTCCATCCACGTCTCATCTTACAACCCTTCATTTAGAAAAAAATGAATTATAACATTTTAAAATAACATTTCCTACTTCTCAACACCTAAATAGTTATAAAATATCATATTTAAACTCTAAAACCTCATGCATAAGGAATGTTTCTAGGAATGTGGGCTTTGATACCACTTGTCACGCCCCGATACTCAATATGAGACACTATTCTTGCTCATGTCATTTTCATGCAATGAGCCCATAAAATATATACATGCATGGATCAAAAATATAATACAACATAACATTTCATGTGATATGTACAGTAACTCTATATATAAAACATGAGGTCAGAATTTAGAGTCTAATAGAATAAAATGAAACTTTTCGAATATGCACAAAATATACAAAAATAAAAATCCTTTTACAGGTTCTACTCGCCTAGAAGCAGTGCTGCCTTTTCATTCTCATCTGAAAAATATCATGGTAAAATTTAATGAGTTTTACCAACTCAATAAGTATTCTCGTTCTCTCAATCTAGATAAAATTTTATGCAAAATACACGGTAAGAAACAAAAACAATAAAAATATTTTAGTGCAAATTCATGTTCATATTTTTAACATTTTATATGTTTCTGATCGATTTGATAAATTCTCTCGAATATCATATACAAACCTCAAATGTATATTTTCATATTATCGAAAGTCATAAATGCACTCAAATATCTATTGTCATTTTAAAATATAATCACACACATAAAAGATCACAGATATACTCGAATCTCGTTCATAATCTCGAAACATAATCACATATACACAAAATATCACCGATATACTCGAATGGTCATTTTTATGATTTCATCGCGCGATACCGTTTATGTCATCATTGAGAAAAGACGAAATGGATCCCCCATCGCATGAATAATACACACACAAATCATACAGTGGCCACAACAGGTACATTTGCTAGGTGGCTCATACTCACACGAATGTTTATTTACGTATGAATTAGGTTTTAGACTCTATTCATGTGCAGGTTTACCACATCCGCTAAATTTCAACCACACACACATACACTTCCTTTTTCGATTCAAACTAAACGAGAAGGTATTCAGGGTCCCTACCCTATTCACTCCTACCGTTTCATTCTAAAATTCTCAGTTTGTTTAAATGATTATTTCTTAACCTCAATTATTTCTTTTCCGTTCTATTTTTATATTTTTAATTTATTTCTTTTTTTTTCAATTTTTTCATAATTGAGAATTTTCCTTTTCAATTTCAGATTTTATTAGTCCAAATAATTCAGTTCAAATAACTCTCAGTCCATGAGTCTGTTTTCTGGTTTCGTCTCCTTATAAGGTTCCAATTGCTTAGGTTTAATGATCATAATTTGGATTTTATTTTTCATTGAAAATTGGGTCAATGTCCGTTCAAATTTCAAAATTTATAAATTGATGAAATGAATACACTTTTCAAAATTCGAATCTGGTTGAGATTTAGAAAAATCTATTCTCCTACGCGTCTTTTCGGATCCGATTGAATGTCTAAATTTTTCTGTACACACGACATAATTAATTAAAATACTTTGAAATACTAAAAATTAATTTAATCAAATTATGGGTTCCAACGGCCACCCAACGAAATACCCGAAATTATCAGGATCCGTACCTAAAAAATCTTTCAACTCTTTGTTCAGTGAATCAGATTCCCGTTTTCTGAAAAAGACTTTTCACCTTCCCCAACGATAAATTGGATTCTCATTTTTCGAGGAAGACTTTTTAGCTTCCAGAACGGTAAATCGGAACACAAAATGGTGGACTGGGTTCCCATGCTTGGGGAAGACCCTTCGACTTCCGGAATGGGTCAACTTTCTCCATTCCCGAGGAAACCTCCTCGGTTCTAGTACGGGTGGGTGGCTCGACAGAGCCCGTGCAGCCAAGCCAACATCAGGCCCATTCACCGATGCTCAACAACCACCAAAAAATACGAAAAAGCTTTACCTTTTTGGCATGGGGCGATTCGGCCTTGACTCTGCTCCTAGTCACCTCCTCTCGGTTACCTCGTGGTCCTTTAGCTACCAAACCTGCACACACTCACACACATGAACACTCTTTTGGTCAAAAGCACAAACCAAAAGAAGAAAAGGAACACACCTAGCTCAGGTACAGTGCTTGAAAAACTCGAACAACCTCAGTTTTGGATTTTGCCATCACACGGTGTTCATCGGCTGCAATTCCTTTTCTTTTTCTTCCTCCTCCGCGATTATCTCTCATCTCCCCTTGTGCGACCGTTCTCGACTTTCCTTCTTCTTTCTCGGCCACCCTCTTCCTCTTCCCTCTTCTCTCATTTCGTTTCCCTTCCCCTCTTCCCTTTCGGCCTCTCTCTTCTTTCCTCTCTTTTTTCTCTCTCTCGGATTCCCCAATGAAGGAAACCCTAATCTCTTCCCCTTTATACATGTTCTCTCAACCGTTGGATCTTCATGACTCGATCTGGACCGTCCGTTTTCTTTTTTAATCTCCTCCATCCGATATCCTCAAGTGGTCCAATCTGGGCTGTCCATTCTTCTAATTTTCTTTGCCCCCTTCTACTTTTCTTTATTTATATTTTTGCCCCCTTTTTTCTTATATACTTTCATTTAGGTCTCTTAAATTAATTAAAAGCCTCAAATTTAAAAGTTCATTTCATTTACATTCAAACTCTAATTTTATTTATTTATTATATATATTTTTTCTCATGTGGATATTACATTTGATACTAAAGTTTATGTTTCTCATTAAATAGATTCCAACTGATTTTGGCAATAATACTTCATTTATTTAACGTATTTTCTTATCTTTTAGACCCATATTCTTCTTATTTTTGTGAACTATGGCTTAATTTACCAAATGTACTCTATGGTTATCAAACAAATAGCTTCAAGAAATTATGTCGAACTTCCCACAAGTCTTTACAAAGAGCAAGTTGAATTACATTACATATGTATGAATTAATATGACATGCTTAAGGAGAATGCTCTTACTTGCAAGGTTCAGAAGTTAATCAACTACTGTTATAAACAATTTTATATTTTTTTTATAGAAATTCACAATAGACCTTTTATAGTTCTAAAAAGTTGAATGCTAATTACTTTGCAATAGTCCTTACCCGTTAAGTTGAGAGTATTCAGGAACACATATATATATATATATATATTTTTGAGACATTAGAGAATTCTTCTATTCTATTTAGCTATATGTACTTATAATTTTTCTTGCTTACGAAAAGGTTGTTAATACAAAATAAGTATGATGACTTCAACCAGTCTTTGTTGAGGACAAGAGGGTTTTTTGCAACAAGTTCTTATTACATACATATTTTTATGAGAAAGTCAATTTATATGTATGAGTGAGATTAAAAGTCATTATTTTGGCCTTAATCCACAAGTCTTTAGTTTGAAGTATGGCAAAGAGATACACTTCATAATTATTAGGGAATTGAAAGCTCTAAAATTGTGTTTGGTTCAAGACAATTAGTTACTTAATATAATGATTTACTTTTTCGATGCATAATTAAATTAATTAACTTATGTCTTAAATTTCATAATCTCGTGTCTTTACTTGTTAGTAAAAATAACAAGAACTGTTAATTTAAATTGGACATAAAGTTTATATAAAATTAGATTATGTTATTTGAATTCAAATTTATATAATGTTTATTTATATTTCATAAAATTTAAATTTAAAATAAAGTTACTGTAAGTTTTTCTTTCATAACCTATCAACAAATTTTCATTAAATTAAAAAAGGCGCAAATATTATTTGTTCATCTTTATTTTTCTTTATGAACCTGTAAAAGAAATTAATATGATTTTTTATAATTTTTTAATCAAAATACCCCCATTAGAAAAATATATATATTTGTTTGTTATTTTACCAAAAACTTCTTATTTATGTGGAATTTTCTAATTTTTTTTTATAAAAAATATAATACTCAAAATTGAAATATATGATCAAATTTATAAATTTTATCTAAACAAAAAAATTTAAACCACACTAACCCTGAGATTATGTGTTAATCCGCCTCTGATTTATCCGGCGCAACGATCAAATCAAGGAAGGTTATAAAATAAGTAATAGGTGGAGGTCTCGTGACCCACCACACGTAGGGCCCATTGCTGACGTGTAAATCCTGTATCGATACACCGAAACGTTTCGCTCATGTACATACAGCGAAAAAAGCAGCTCTCTCTCCCTGGCCCCTTTTTTTTTTTTTTTTTGTCTTCTCTACCCTTTTTCTTCTTTCCTCTTCCTTTTTTTTTTTTTTATTTTATTTAATTTTTCTCTTCAATTTATACCGGTTACCATGTGCAGTCCTCTGTACTATGTCTAAGCTTCTTCTGCTATTAGAGTTGTCTCTACAAGTACTAAACATCCTACTCTCGAATCTTAAATTCCTCTCTTCTTTCTATTCGCATGTAAATCAAGTTATTTTATTTTCGCGTCTGAAAGTGTTTGATTCTCTAATGGCCATTGAAGATGACGTGGAGAGTTGCGGTAGCAGAGTTGCGGAGTCGCTTTCACAGTCAAATCCTCGGCACCACAGACAGAAGCTGGAGGTGTATAACGAGGTGCTTAGGCGAATCCAGGAGTCCAATTACGAGGAGGCGAATCTGCCTGGGTTTGATGATCAGCTCTGGCTTCACTTCAATCGCCTCCCTGCTCGGTATTTTCCTTAGGCTAGATTTCTGTTTTCCTTCCCTTGATTTCGTGCTGTTCTCTTTTTTTCTCCTTCAACTGCGTGTTTGGTTCGTGAGAATCGTTGAGGAAAAGATTGTTTTGAAGTCTGGCAACCTTGTTCCTGCGTTAAACTTTAGTTTTCTTAGTTTATCGTTCCCTTTTGTTTTGTATCTTGTGTATTGATACATTTGGTTGAAAGGTTAATGTAATTTTCTTTTTATTTTAACAAAAAACAAAACAATCAAATCAAACAAACAGCCATGCTCATTTTCTTCATTTCTTTTTTCCCAATCCTGTTTCAATTTCTTAGTATGTCTACATTTGCCTTTACGTACTATTAATTTTGCCTCACTTTCTTAGTATAATTACATTTGCTTACCTACTGTTAAATTAAACACACTATTCATCTGTGAATTTATGCTAATATCACTTCAGTTCTGTTTTCTAGTTTCAGTAATTTGTTGGCATTTGTGAAAATTATTACTAGGTACGCACTTGATGTAAACGTTGAGAGAGCAGAAGATGTTCTCACGCATAAGAGATTACTACTTTTGGCAGAAGACCCTGCTAAGGGACCTGCTTTTGAAGTTCGTTCAGTGCAGGTAGTTAACTGTATCGGAATTTCTTTTCACTGGGTAACCTCTGTTTGTCTTTTTCATCTCTATTTCCAAGCTAGTTATAGGAAAATGCGGTTGACATTGTCTTCAGTATGACCTCTGTAATATGATATATATTTGAAGTCTGACGATGTTTTGTGCCACATTATTTAAAGTTTGTATCGTTGTATCATAGCAGATGGGTTGAAAATTTAGAACTGTTATTTATTTATTTCTCTGTTCCCTTTGAACTTTCCAGCTGCTGTCATCCGGATCTGATGAGCAATATTCTTTTTAGTGCAAATTTATAACAAATTTGCTTGTTGCTATGTTCAATAAAGATGTTTGTTTTCTTTAGGTTCAGCAGCTTCATTTGGTGGATAATGGTATGAAATATGGGAGGTGGAGTTTACTTGAGGATCTGATTTAGCTAGTACAGATTGATGATAAATGATAAATCTCCCCTGGTTTCTCATTGCTTTTCTGTCATGTGTAGGTTTATCCTGTTTTCAATGGAAATTATGTTGATTCTTCCCATTCAGATTCATTAATGAAAGAGGATGCACAAAGTTCTTACCATTCAGGCAGACAAGGGTATGCAACATTATGTTTTAGTTTTTTTTTTTTTTCCTTTGCTTTCATCTGCACCACATGCATGCTTTTTGGTTATTCGGCCTTATTCCTTATATTTTGAACTTATTGTGATTTGGTGATCACTGTTCTTGCTTGTTTTTCCTCCAGCATACATGCACCGCCGACTTTTGGTTCATCATCTAATCTTGAAGTACTTACACATGCAAATAGATATCATATTGACGGTGGTGATGGTGCTGAAAACTTGACATTGCATCTATCCCGGTAAATTTTAAAAAACTTGAGCACTTTATTTTCCTGTCTAAAGTGATTCTTACAGTCTATTTTTCTCATTGCTAAGCATTCAATGAAAAAAGCTGAAACTCAGTCTTTTGCTTCACAAAATACAGTAGAAATCTCAGGTCAATCATCAAACTTCATATTATGTTATCCATGCCATCTGCAAGTGCATGTTCTTCACCTTTTCATTATCTCTAGAATTGGAATGTGCACACCTTAATTTTACTAGCCTTCACTAGAAATTTCTATGCTGGAACTTTCAAAGTTTTGGTTCATAAGAAATTCTCCAAATGCCTGTTTATCATCTAGCTGATAACCTCTCACTTTGAAGCTACATTATATTCTATAATATTCTGGATTGCAGCATAGTTGATTGCTGAATGTTTTATTTTCCTTTTAGTAGTTCGATTCTTAATTTCAATATTGAACTTCTATTAGAAAAGAAAATTTTTGTTGGCTTGTTGTAGTTTGTTCTTTCTCTATCTGTCTCCTAGTCTCTTCATGTTAGTAACCAAAGGTTCTGGTGTTATGTGTAAAAGTGGACACAGATCCTTCTCAGGAAATTTATTTAGCTGATTTTCCAATCTAAGTAATGTTAATTTGTTATTTACAATCTTGTAGGCCCATGCATGAGATAACCTTTTCGACAGTTGACAAGCCAAAACTCCTAAGTCAGGTGGTTGGACTGTTTTTCTTTTGTTTTTTTTTTCTCTTCTCTTTACTTCATTGAGTTGAATGTATTACTGTTGATGAAATTTCCAGCTGATTGGACTGTTCTCATTAATGTTCTGTTTCTTTTTATCTGTTCAAAGGGTGCCATTGGTATGAAAAAATATATTGCAGGCAAGCAGTGGCTAACAATATTCCATTAATGTGTGACAAAGTTTAGAGTTTAAAACCTGCATGCAGTTTTATGACATAGCTAATTTCCATACTGTAATCATCTAGACCATTTATGAAATCACTGTTGGAGTTTCCCTTGCAGATACTTTTTCTTGTCTCCCTTATCCAATGTGTAACAGAATAATATTAATTAATTTTCAGTTGACTTCTGTGCTTGCTGAGATTGGGCTGAATATTCAAGAGGCTCATGCTTTTTCTACTGTTGATGGATTCTCTCTGGATGTGTTTGTTGTCGATGGTTGGCCTCATGAGGTATGGCTGATGTAGGACAAGGCGATCTTATAAATCCCTGTCTAACTTGTCTGATTGGGGACCTTTTGGTTTGTCAGAAGAAAACACTTTTAAGTGCGTGCTTGAACTGATTGGAACTTCCATGCAGAAACTGATTATTGATTCATTATATACATTATTTTCTTCTTGCTATTAAATTGCTACTGTCACTTACTGTTTTTCCTATTTGTCATAAAATAGTATATGTCATACTGTTATCCTTTTCCTTAGTAGTTTGTTTCTTAATGTTGTCTTAAATTCACTTGTAATATCTCTTTGTAGTTGTGCTTTTAATTTGGAATAAATAAAAAACAAGGAGCAAACATCAACGTAATTAGTTCTAACTTTCAATCTGTAAGAATTAGTTGTTTAAAAGCTTTGCATATAAAATAAAAAACTTGTTATGTCAAACTCAGATGTTCCATTGTGACAGAAACCTCCAAAA